AAGGAAGGTTCATCATGCCCCAGGCGGTGGGGCAGGGAAGGTCTTGTTAAGCAGTCAGACTGACAGACGACGAAGGGCTTCTGACACTGACCCGACCGAGGCGAGCTTTGGCTACAGCAAGGCCCTCCCACTTTCAGAGTCTCAGGCGCCCAAGGACGTGCGGTCCACACCAGGGGGCTCGCCGGTGACCTCGTTTCTGAGAGCAGGAGAGGAGGAACCGAGTAACCGAAGTCAGCCTCGGCCTGCGCTCTGCCTCCCTGTGACCTGAGCCCCGGGCTTCAGCCCTCACGGGCGGCGCCTGGGCGCAAACCCCAGGTCCTCCTCACCTGAGCGCTGCCCTGCGGTCAGGTTACTTAGTCGCTCTGTGGTAAGTAACTAAGCTGGTCCAGGCCTTTTCCCACTTCCCTGGCGAGGGCCCCCTCTCGCTGACTCTGGGCTCAGTCACGGGGTGGGGTTGGCCAGTGTCACAATAACAAGAGTGACACAGCTGAGACTTGAGAAGCCCCGTCTCTCGCAGCCCTGTGTCCCTCCTGCCACCTGGCTGGAAGACGCAGACAAGGCCCGGTCCCCCTTGCCACCCGTCCGCCCAGGACAAGCGCAGGCTGCAGGAAACAGCTCAGCCAAGCCGCCAGGCTAGGCCGCCGGGGCAGGCTCAGCCGCTGGCCCCGGTTTGAAGCTGAACCCCCTTTGGGGAGGTTTGTGATACATTAACCGGTAACTGACACACCTCCCGGGCCTGTGTCTTCATTGATAAAATTGGGACCATGAAAGTAGTCACCACCCCCTCGTCCACGGTTCCCACTTCTATGGTTTCAGTTACCAGTAGTCAATTGGGGCCCAAAAATACTAAACGAAAAATTCCAGAAATGAATAATTTATAAGCTTTAAATTGTGCACCTTTCTGAGCAGCCTGATGAAATCTTGCGCCCTCAGCGCCGTCCTGCCCAGGGTGTAAATTGTCCCTTTGTCCAGCGTGTCTGGTTTGTCAGTCACTTAGCCCTCATCAGATTGTCTGTCACGGTATCCCGGCATCTCAGTGCTGGTGTTGGAATAACCTTTATTTTACTTAATAAAGGCCCCAAAGCATGCCAGAGGAGTAAGGCTGGCAATTCCGAGAGGCCAAAGAGAAGCCGCAAAGCGCCTCCTTTAAGGGAAAAGGTGAAGGTCCTCAGCAGCAATGTGGATAGACCTGGAGACCCTGCTCAGTGAAGTAAGGCAGACAAAGACAAATGTCGTAAGATGTCATTTATATGTGGGATCTAGAATATGACAGAAATGAACTCATTTATAAAAGAGAAGCAGACTCACAGACGTAGAAAACAGACTTACGGTCACCAAAGGGGAGCGGGCGTGGAGGAGGGCTCCACTGGGAGCTGGGGTTAGCAGCTACGCACTGCGGCACATGAAACAGACAGACAACAAGGTCTCACTGCAGAGCACAGGGAACTATATTCAATATCCTGTGATAAACCGTAATGGAAAAGGGAAAAGAAGGAAAGGTGAAAGTTCTCAGCTTCGTAAGGAAAGAAAAAAACATCATGCGCTGAGGTTGCTAAGAAGGGTCTGTGGTAAGAATGGATCTTCTGTCCATGAATTGGGACGAAGGGAAAAGAAACCCGTGTTAGTTTCGCCGTCGCACCTCAAACTAAAGGGACGACCACAGAGCATGGTAAGTGCTTAGTCAAGACGGAAAAGGCGTTGTTAAAGTTGTACGAAAAGATATCTTGAGGGAGACTATGTTTACATAACTTTTGTTGACATATTGTTGACTGTTCTATTTCATTATTAGATCCGGCTGATCTCTTACTGCGCCTAACTTAGAAATTAAGCCATCATAGGTATATCTGCAGAGAGAAGACATGGCGTGTATGCAGTTCGGTACGGTCCACAGTCTTGGGGTCTTGGAAGGGGTCCCCCGGACGGGGGCCTTACCCTCAGAGTGTGGTTGTGACAATTAAGGGGGGTACAGCTTACCAGTGTCGGCTGTTACTGATAACATGTATTGCTTCTATCACTGGTTTAAAAAGAAAGAGTAACTACCCTTCTTCTAAATTTTCAACTTTTAAAAACAACGTACTGGCGCTCAAGAAATACCAGCTATAACATCTGAAAATTTTGTCAGGGTGAAGAAACGGCAGGGAGAACTTTCAACATCATTTCTTCCCTCCTCTCACCTCCAGCGACAGCACAATGACCTCCCGGCACCCGGGGCGAGTGCCTGGGGCAAGCTGTACACGTCTCCAAGGTGGAAGCTCAGCTGTAGGAAAGTCTGATGTTCTTTTGTGGTGAGTCAGGTTCCCTGAAATACAGACGCCCCTCCAATAAGCCGCCGACGGCGGAGGCCACCGGCAACTCGCGTCCGTCGCCCACTCCCCAGCCCTAGCAGGCTGGACGGACCGAACATTTATCTGGACGAGATGGTCCACAGACAAAGCCTGGAGAAGGAGCTGCTCTCTGGGCTAATGAACGAACAACACCGCAGAGGCAGCTGAAGGGTCCCTAAAAGCCAGGGAAGAGAAATGCTCCAGCCAAGGGGTGCTCATGTATTTATGCTCTGGGCCCTTGAGTGTAGGATGGGGACCACGCGCTGCCCCTCCGCTCAAGGCCCACAAGGCCTCCACTCTGTGTTCCAGATGACTCTGGGGACAGCAGGAAGGAGAAGGAGAGAAAGCGTGCTTCCCTTCAGGGCCTCCTGTGCGCCCGAGTGCGTCACAGGTTGTCAGGAGAGAGATCAGGGAGGTGGCGTTAGTCCCGGCATCGGTGTGAAGCAGGGTTTGACTCCAAAGTCAGGATTGTCTCTGCTCTTCCCTGCTAGTCAGAAAGACAAGCTAGAAAGAGCCGAGAGTAAGGGATGGGAGAAACAGCGGCGAACACGGGCCTCTGAACATGGGCCTTTACGGCCTGCAGGCGGGCGGAGGCTATGGGGAGGGCGGGGAGGGGAAAGAGTTTGGACCAAAAGAGGCAGAAGACCCAGCTCAGTCCCGGGCCTTCCCCGAGAACCCCGAGGAAACAGAACCTAAACCAGGACGACAAAGAACTGACACAGTTGTCGGGGTGGAGCTTAGGCTGCGGGGATTATCTTTTTGGTATTAAAAGAAGCTGATAAATTTCCACCCCCTTCCCCCCGTGAGGATTATTACAAAAGCCATTGGTAAGACCTGCTATTTTACAGAAAAGCAGGCTTTTGAACATGTTAGGCTAAATCTCCTGAGTGTGTGACTAGGGCTTCTGTTGGAATGACATTCTTTATTCATTCAGGAAGCATTTACTAAACACTTGCTAAGAATAGTGCACCACATGGGGGGGTGGGAGGGGGACGCCAGAAAAACTCCAAACCGTGCCTCCAAGGTCTTTGCAAGAGGGGAAGAGAGGAGCACAGAGCAAGCACCACTGAATACACAAGTCAGGAGAGCAGACCTGGGGCCTCTGAGAAGATGAGGAGGGAGGCGTGGGGCTTCCTGTGGGAGGTGGACCTGGGAAGGGCTGGGATGGAGCTGGGAGTCCCCGGCTGAGAACAAGATGTCCTGTTCCCAGGTCAGGTGGGGCCGGGCCACTAGAGTCTTACGTGACAGCTGAGCGGTGAGGCTTTATCGGGAAGCAGTGGGGAGAGGCTGACAACCTCAGTGTCCCTCCACAGAGAAAGCCCCAGGTACCTGCCAGGGTGTCTGACCCCACTGCAGCACGCAGGTGAGAGGAATTAGGCTGAGGGATGACAAAGAGCACTGCCACTTGCATTGCTTTTCCTTGTTTCAGAATAAAAATCCTTTTTAGGAAATCCAGTGCCCGGTCTCTTCAGAGTCCAGGTCATTTGGAATTAGAGGAGCTGGATTTAGCAAAAAGAAACAGGATGCCAGTTAACTCCAAACTTCAGGTAGACGGTGAACACTTGTTTAGTGGAAGTGTATCCCAAGTATTCACCAGAAGATTCTGAGTTTTGTCTGGAATCCCTGCATGGAAGGAGCAGGGAGGAACCAGGCATCGTTCTAGGACTCATGGAACTAGCTGCCTATGAACAAGGGCACCGAGCACAGAGAGGCCATCAGGGCCAGGGTGGGCACACAGCAGCTGTGGGCCTGAAAATGATTTTATGCTCTTTCTCATACCCATCACGTTTAGAGGGACCAGAAGCTTTCTACTTGAAGGACTGGAATACACTGTCAGAGCAAAGAATGTTTCTGTAATGGCAAGAAGCAATTATCTGACAAATGTTATGCATCTGATTTAAATCCAGTTATTTGTATACGTCATTTTCTAAAGGGAGAAACACACAGAAGGAAGGCTTTCTGAAGCGTCAGGATGCAAAGCCCTGGAGGAGGTTCCAGGTAGTTGTTGGAAAGTCCTGGCAGCCCCCGCCTGGAAGCTCTGGGGGAATCCTGGGTGCAGAAGGACAGAGCGCACTTTCCTCTCCAGCCCAAACATTCTGAGGAGGGAGGCGGAAGCAGCGTCTTCTGACCCCGAAGCATCAGGGTTAGAGCAGCGCTTACTGCTGACTTCAGGCCGCAGCACTGAGACGGAAAATCGCAGACTGAAGAATTACCTTTCTCTTGCTCGTGGATAAAGCAGCTCTCTTCCTAAAGCCGAGAACCATTACGGAATGAACGTGCACAATGGAGACAATCCAGGAAACACTGTGTGGCCCTAATAATTCTGACCGCTTTGTGCCACGTTTTGCAGTGGCCTCAATTAAACGGTAGAGAATCCATGTGACACGGCGCTCCTGAGAACAAGACGGAAGCTCTGCCGAGGACCTGTATTCCCCGGGGGAAACCTTGGGGCGCTCTCTTCTAGAAGCTAAGATCAGAAGGACACTTGGGTTCTGAACTAAGAACTGTTACCTGGGTTTCAGTGTTTCAGGTGACACAGTAGCCAGTAACAGGGCTCAGAGAAACCAGAGGATCTGGATTAGACAAGAACACTCATTTACTAAGATGTAATCTACACAATTAGAACCCTGTCAATATCGCAAACTGGAAATCCAGCAAAATTTAAAATTTCTCATGAGATGTTATGTTTTCTAGTGAATAGCCTTGCTCAGTCACACTTGACAAAGTGATATGCATCCGGACACGATCCCAGAGGAGTATTTTTAAATTAAGAAATTTTAAGAGAAAACCAGGTAATCCTAATGAAAAATAAGATGCTTCCCTTTGGAAACACTCTCTGATTTTATGGGAAGGGTTTGGTTTCATAATGCCTATGGAAGACTAGTTCACTTTTTTCCCATATAGAATCAATACCTCATTTGCCCACAACTCTTAAATTAAGTCTTATTTTTAAAAACAGTTAAATTGTGCCCATTGTTAAAACAAAGCATGTGATAGTCTCTATAAACATGAACAAACCTAGGTCTAAACAAAAATATTAATAAGACTAGCACAAACATTGAGCAAAGACTCAAGAGGAATTAGCCTTGAGATGAATTTCTTAAAGAAAATCACTGAGTGCAAAGCACTATGTCTCTCGGCACTGAAAACAGCAATAAAAAATATTGATAAGAAGCAATCTTCAGTTTTAGGTACGATGGTAAAATTAGGATAAAACTGAAGTAAGATTCTTCAAGACAGAACTCTTAGAGAAAATGAGAGGAACCTCAGTGGATCCCCTACACTGATATTCTATGAAACACTTCCAAAAATACTAATAAAAGTTTCACAGCATCAAGGTCCATGGCCCAACAAGTTTAGGGAACACCCTGTGCGTTGTTTGAAATAGTCTTTTCATGTTAAAGGCTCTGAGAAATTCTGCGACAAAGAATCACGTTTAAGTGCCTTTAATCCACCATTTTCAAAACTTTCTTGAAGATAGGACACCACTCCTCCCCACAAACCTACCAATAGCCTAAAGAGTGATTTCTCAGGAAAGACTAGTTTGAGAAACAGTCCATGATTTAAAGAGATCGAGACTTTAGAGGTTGCTTTTATCACCCAAACTTTCAAAAGGAAATGAAGAGCTATTGAAAAAAGTTCGTTAAGATTACACAGACCCCGCTGTTAGCCTCCGGGGCTCCCAGCTCTTGGGAGAGGCCCTCCTGTTTCCACTGGAAATGCGGAACGCAGGACCTCCAGCAGGGGGCCCTGTGCGCCAGGGCTGACCCTGCAGGGCTTGAAGGCGGGTCAAGGTTAAGATGCCTTAACAACTAACAAGCTAGAAATGTCATCTGGCCTCTTAGGACACGGCGTTACAAAAGTATGGTCATGGTTCAGGAATGCGGCCACGAGAGAAATCCGTGCTCAGAATTTTATTATTAGGTTCTATCATGTGTACATTTTCAAAGATAGCTAAGAGAGCTCAAAGGGGAAGAAGAAAAAAAGGCAAGCAGTATTTTTATAAAATAATAATCAAATTAAGACTTACACTGAAAAAACATGAAAAGGACTTAAAAATTTCCCTACATGGTTGGTAACTCAGGGATGCCCATTTTCTGTCAAGAATAGCTTAGGAAAACAACAACAAAAAGAGTTAAGAATAAAATTGAAAATAAATGGCAATTAAGTTGTTCCTGAGATGAAGGACCAAGACAATCCTTCCAAAACAGTCTCCCTGAAGGAAGGAAGCTCATTGTTTTGGTG